CACAATGATTGAAGCAATAAGAAATGAATTACTAATCGAAGATAAACAAGATGATAAACCAAATATGGAAATCGACGCGACCAAACACATGATGATCCAAAACAACCCTGAAACTATAAAAGAACCCCAAAATCGACTAACAGAAAAACCCCAAAACCAATAAACCAACAAATACCAAAAGATTTAATATCAATATGGCAACACCCAACCAAAAACGATTTACATAGGACGTTAGTCTCTTTCATTTGTTCAAAGAATTTTCTATTATATTTGTGGAAGGTTTTATCTCTTGGATTAGCTTCTCCGAAGCTTCTGTCTATTGCCCTTTGGAGTTCAGTTTCATTAAAATTAGTTGTCCGAATAATTGTTCATCAGTTTCATCCGTTATTTCTTCATTTATGAATTGTTGTAGCATTATCCCATTTGGTGTTGAGAATACATCGTTTAGTTGTATTTCTCTATTTACCGTTTGTGGGTTTATTCTTCCCAGTTGTATTTCTTCAAATATTTCTCTGGTTAGTGTAAGGTTTACTTCATTATATGATGTTCTTTTTCTTGTTGATTCTGTCCAATGTCGAAGCCTTCCTTCAAAGGTATAATTTGGGTTTATTAATTCCAATGCTATGGTGTGCACTAATCTTTCTTCTATTTTACAGAAGAATGATCCTCCCCAGTTTTCCATTTGTTGTTTAAGTTTTTCAGTTCCACAACTTGTACATGTAATAAGACTTCCAGAGTCTATTAGTTGTTCTCGAATGATTTCTTTATCTGATGCATTATCATCTGATATTTGTTGATACACTTCAATTCAACATGTTTCGCAGTATAATAGTGTGGTTTTGTTATTTATTGTTACTGGTTCTAACTTTGGTCATGATTCACTGCATAGTTGGTAGCAGTTACAACAATGCTATTTCTTTTGTTTTAATATTAGTGAGTCCGGGTTTATTAGTGAGTTTTTACTCACTTTCCATATTTCTTTTTTATTGCATCCACAGGTTTGGTTTCAGTTGTTATCCCATAGTATTCTTTTTGGACAGTATTCTTCAATATGTTTATATTCATAACAGTAAGTGCATTGTGTTAGGTGACAGTTTAGTTGGTGATGTTCCTGTTGTCCGCATAATTCACAGATGAATTGGTCGTATTTACTGTGGTAATGCGATCCTCTACATTTTCTACAAATAATGTCTGGACATTCTTTGTAATCGTGAATGCCTTGCTTCCCATCACAGATTCTACATCTCGAAAGATTTGTTCCTCCTGGATTGCTTGAAGATAGTGTTTGCTCTGTTCTACTATTTTGAAAGTTTGTTGTTCTTGTTTATTCATCATCCAGTTCACCATTACTAGTTGTGATTTGGTCAATGTCCATGGGCTTTCTAGGTTGTATGTTAACCTTTTTACTAGGTACCATGGTTCTGGACTTCCTTTCAAGGTTATTTCGAAATTGTTGGTAGTTCGGTATTCTTTGGTATATTGTTTTATAAGATCTGGGTATGTTTTTACCAGTTCCAATTGTACTCCAAGGATTTGACTTAATAAGTTGGTGTCTCTTGTTAGGTTCATTTGATTCATTTCGTCCTGTATTAGTAAATCGTTTTTGGTTGGATGTTGCCATATTGATACTAATGATTTTGGTATTTGTTGGTTCATTGGTTTTGGGGTTTTTTTAGTCAGTCGATTTTGGGGTTCTTTTATAGTTTAGGGTTGTTTTGGATCATCACGTATTTCGATTGTGTCGATTTCCATACTTGGTTTATCTTCTTGTTTGTCTTCGATTAATAATTCATTTCTTATTGCTTCAATCATTGTGGTCCACAGCTGACCTTGATATTGTCTTCGCCATATGTACTCAAGTAAATACGGTTCAATTCTTTCTTCATTTCTATTTCTGGCAGGTATTAATATCTTTAATCCGTTCCAGTTTCCTTCTATGGTATTGGTATGTATTCCTGTTT